GAGCTCTTTCCATAAATGGAATTCCACCAAGACCATTTTTCAGGCTGAGTATACTCTGATAGAATCGGTACTTTTGGCCCTTCCCAGATTTTGTTACGGTCCATTCCAATTAAATTCCAGTAGTTAAGTATTACGTCATCGCCGATGAGTAAATATCCCTCGTATCCCGGATATTTTTCCATGGCACGTGACATGCACATATAGCCGAAGTATCCTTTGAAAATGGATTGAACCAACTCGATCTTGTGCTCTCTTGACTCAGTTGGTCCGCAAAACATGATCGTTGGAAATGCATTCTTATAAAGGCCAGAGAGTGTTGGGATACTTGAGTAGAAAGGAAAGTTGAACACAACTACAAGCACAATGTCTGAAAACGCATTGCGGAGGCAGGAAGAGTTTTCTTCATTGCGTACAGCTGGTGGAGGATCATAATTTACTTTTTCTGGGACCAGATAGTTTCTAGAGATTGGAACAAAGCCTGCGAAAACAAAAGATATAAGCGAAAACGTGAAAAGAAAAGGGGGCGTTTAAGACGCCCTCTTCTTCATCCATTCCTTGTGAGTACGCTGTAATGGAAGCCTTTTAACCCGCGAAGGGACAGGTCATTATCTATCACGAGTCAAGTTATAAATCAACTACGCGCTAATCGTGATTGGTCGAAGCGCCTCCGTGGAGAATCCCATTTCGCGGTCAGTTCAAACTAATAATAGACTTGTTTGGGAAAACACCGTGACATAAACAAAGGGCGGTTGAACGCTCCAAGTGATGGACTCCTTGTTATTTCTGTTACGACACAACCATAATCCTCTCAGTCCCCCCCTCCCCCACTGAACCCTCGACGATAAAAAGTGGTCAATCCCTATGGAGTTTTTGATATCGCATAACTGAACTTTATGTCTTCTTTGACATCGAAAATTGCACAAAGCTAACCTTTGGCGAAAAGATATGTTCCGGAGCGAAGCAGGAAAATCATGTAATTCTGAGGACATCTTAGGAAACTGCTAGCTGCACAAGTAAGCTACAAGGCGCAGTTCTCAAAAATCTGTTGGATTGGTTGACACCGAAAAAAGATATCTTGTTTTTAGTCAAGAATGCCTTGTTGTGGAGATCTTGTTTGTTCTAAGGATGAGCCATCTCCCTTTTTTTTCGTCGTTTAGCATCGAATGCGTTTCCTCGTATTAGGTTGTTCGGTCGGATTGAAAAGCAAAACTTAAAAAAAATCAAATGAAGTCTCTGAATAGGAGACCTGGTATCTCAGCATCATTGCTGTAAAGTCTGGAAATATTTCTGGAAACAACAAGACATAACCAAAAATAAATATGGCGGAAACGTTGGTTGATGTTACAGCGTGGGAAAAAACTACACCTACTGCACAAAACTACACCAATCTACACCAAACTACATCTACTACATCAAACTATACCAAACTACACCAAACTACATCTACTACACCAAACTACACCAAACTACACCTACTACACCAAACTACACGTACAACACCAAACTACACCAAACTACACCTACTACACCAAACTACACGTACAACACCAAACTACACCTACTACACCAAACTACACCTACTACACCAAACTACACTTACAACACCAAACTACACCTACTACACCAAACTACACCTACTACACCAAACTACACCTACTTCACCAAACTGCTCCAAACTACAACTACCACACCAAACTACACCAAACTGCACTAAACTACATCAAACTACAGCGAACTGCACCAAGTGTGAAAAGAAGGCTTTTTGCCTTCACAAATAAACGGACGAACAGGGAACAATTCGATAAACTTCCTCTGCGAAAAGGCCTTCATGGGGGCACTCGCTGGCTGCGGGAAGGCCGGAATCTATTACGGCTGTTTACCATCGTTGAGACAATGACTAACAACAAACAACAACAAGGTTGGCTCCTAAGTAGATTTATTTTGTAAGCACTACTGAACTGATTGGTTTTTGACCGAACTGAGTTTGACAAGGTTCGACCTGGCTCGACCTGGCTTGACCTGGCTTGACCAAAGAAAGCTCTAACGATAAATATCTCTATTTAAGCCTAAAGAACAAAGGATTAGGTAAGGCTATGAATTTTCTAATGAATCACGTAATCTACTACAACGATTGGCTAGGCAGGAATTTCGCCTTTTTCAAGATTAATCACTCTCGAAAAGCTCAGGTGGATAACATCTACACAATAGGCCATGTCAGGTAACGGTTACAATTTAACACTATATATAGTTACAGTTATGATCTAATAACAACTGTTTTACGGCTGACTGAAAGGGAATTGGTAGCATTTACGCTTTGCTGAGCTTAGCAAAATCTCGCGGTTTCTACGTTAAATTTCACATAGTTTTAGCGCTAGCACAAAAAATTCGATAACTTAAAATCCTATCGTTACACAAACTACAACTACGTATACAACATCAAACTACACCTACTACACCACACAACACTAAACTACACCTGCTACACCTACTAGATTGTCTCCTCGATTTTTAATTCTGGAACAAACGTTGTTTTTTCATTCAGATAGTGTAGAACCTTGTTCTATATTCGTGTCGGTAATAATGGAAGTATTACCAACATTTATTTAAATCTCACCTACCATAAATGGTGCCATATACCAACGACATCACTAGAACAACGAAAAGTGCCAGCCCTCGATTTGACATCGAAATATTGCCGCAGAGTATGTTATCTGACATAGCACACTTCCAGTTCACGGGTTCTAGAATGGCGTATAGCGTTAATAATTGGACAAATCTTCTGAGGGCTTCTCCCTGTCGATGGAGCAAACAAATCGATCACCACTTGATTCCTCCACTACTTCAGACAACTACATATTTAGTCTAAGAACGAAGGCTTGTATCCAGCTGGTTTGGATGTATAATTGAAATTTATGAGTCTCTGGTTTAGGAAAAATCGAGAAAAGGTGAGAACATTTTTCAAGGAAAAGAAATTTTGTTGTGGAGATCACAATCAATAATTCCTAAAAAAAAGTTTTCCAATTACCCTCTCAGAAACGAGAGATACTGATGCTTAGATGATGAGAGTTATTAGAGATTAATTTAGTTAATTGAAAAAGATTCCAACATCTTCTCAATGAAACTCAATCATTATAGTCCATCGACAAATATGTTTTTTCCGAGACCTGTATTGCCCACGTGCCGACTTACCGATTAGGACTGTGTTGCAATAGGCTTGTTAGAGTATCTGTATTTTTGAGCTCGGCAAAGAAACATAGTAAGATGTTATTCGTCTAGTCACGAGCGAGGAAAAAAGATCTTTCTTATTATTTTTTTCTCAGTTCTTGAGCGGGCGGTATTCTACAAATCCTGCAATACGATTGCTTCCGAGAGCGGGCAGTATTCTCCTCATCCGGCCGCTCACCGCGGCCGGTATCCGTTTCGCTCGAGTCACTTTGCAGAAAATTTCAAGCTTCGTTGCAGGTTTTCAAAAATATGTCTCATTTTGCCGGCCGCGCGGGCAGAATTTTTGGGCAAAGACTTCGGTCAGACCTTTTGGCGATAAATAATATTNTTGAGTGCTCTAGCTGCTTCCTAAGTGCTTTACTACAGAACAGAGCACAGTGAAGGTTTCTCTATTTGTTTTGTAATAAAGAATCCGTTAAATTCCCCACACATTACTTGCAATTTCCAAACAAACTTTATTTTCAAAGCGAACAACAGTGTCGTCGGCATGCTCTATACTCTGATATAGCACGCCCTTTCAACCAATGACAGCACGCGTTATATCTGAACTTTATTATAATCGTCGTTGGAAATAAATAATACTTTCCATAAGATTTCTGAGTGTTTTTTTATTTATTTATTTTTTTTTACGAGGACATCGTCGCATTGTCATTTACCTTGTATGTGTTTGTCACACCAGTACTGTTGTTTATTCGAAAGCGTACGCTCTTTTTCTTCTTCAATTGACAGGTATCACATGGTGACAGTTACTTGTCAAAAAATGTTTCCGAAGTTTGCTCGGAAGCCTTTTCAGTTACATTTACAAATGAAAAATATTTCGGTGAAAGCTTTCTCTTTAATTTGAATAACGTCTGTATTCTTTATCATCCACTCGCTAACAAATTGTTAAGGTTATGGAGGATTTTCCCGTAATTTAACTCGTAATTGTAGCCCTAACTCATTCAGGTTCTTTTGGCAATCATTTTGTTATGTGTCGGAAAAGAATAGAAATGTTATTCACCAGCATAGGTTGGTCCGTATTGGGAAAAACTGTGCCGTCTGTCTTGAGTACCGTCCGAGGCCGTAGGCCTCGGGTTGTAGCGAAGACCTCGGGCACAGTTTTTCCCAATACGGACCGACCTATGCTGGTGAATAACATATATTTCTTTACAAAACATGACGGTTTCTACATTGCCAATCCTAGCACTAGCAATATGCTGGACGCGCGTCAAATATGAACTTCGCAATGAGACTTGTTTAGTCTCTGTGGCTCAGTGGTAGAGCATCAGAGCGCGGAAATCCGAAGGTCTGAGGCTCGATTTCTCCGTCATGGGGACTCTTTCTATATTTATAGATCGTTTGTATTTATCTATTTGTACGTGATCGAGAATCTTTGGATAGTATTTGTTACGTGTTTAAGAGAAATTTCTGGTCAAATGATATTATATCGATGTTCAGTATTATAATCTATTTTGTGACTGTAAGGGCCTTACTCAAGCAGCCGGAATAAGAATAATATCTCTCAAGCTTTTTTTATAATGATTCGCCGAAGTATGTTGCCCTATTGTTAAAACAGCAAGACATGATGTGCGGAGAGTTTCCAATTGCAAAGGCAACGAACACTTTGTTGAAGCAAGTCTAAGAAAAAAATTGTTTGCATTGCAAATTGTTTTCATCGTTTACTGAAACAAAATCAACTAGTAAGATGGAAACAGTCGAATTATCTAGGTTCAAACCAACTGGAGCTTCGCCAGGCACTTTTTTGCTTTACTGACACCATGGTATTAGTGTTAATCAAATCGCTTATAACGTCACAGGCAAATGTACTAGGAGGTTAAACTTACTAAAGCTGAAAAAAATGCGATAAAGACGTGATGAACTTTGTGTAAACACTAGCACTTCCAGAGATACTAAATGTTATAGACAAGCACTTAGCTTACCTTGTACGCTTTAAACGGAGTCACATTCGCTGCCACTGGAAAATATTTTCAAGCTCGGCCGCCACTGTGGAAAACAGTGTTGAATCTTCACCACTTTAATTCTTGAGTGAAATGGAAACAATCGAGTTAACTGAGTGAGACTCGAAACAAATAAAGCTTTGTAAACTGGAAACGATGAAGCGAAAAGCGGCAACACCTTGAGAATGATAATGAGATACCTTTTTTAACACTCCTTATTAGGTAAAGTGTGGCGTGAAAGACATCATTTCTTCAATGCGGCGGGTCAGTTGTTTTATTTCCCCAAACTTGCCATTTTCTTCGTCTGGTCTCTAAAATCCATACCTGTGTTAGGACTTGGCTTTTAAAGTGCTTACGAAATGAAAATTTTTGCACTTTTGTTGCTTTTTTCAGGTTTTTTTTTTTTAATCTTCATCAGGCATAAAGCGGTCTAAATACGTATCTTGTTTTTGAAGTTCAGAGCTATGTTGGTTGCGTGACATTCAACTTCGATCGCGTTTGTATATAGATATATAGATAAAGATATTTTAAATAGATATAGACTTATCTTGTAATTTTTAACCTTTTCAGAAAAAAAAGTGTTAGAAAAAGAGTTTTTGTACACATTAGTTGGTTTAGTTTAGATAATTGGTGGGCTATATGGCCAAGGTAAGTTCCAGATGTTTTACCTGACTCTTTTCCAACCGCCATTTTGGTGGACCAAAGATAACCACAGACATGGCGGCCCAATACTGGCCTCTGTGAATTTGGGCAAAACATTTCGACGAATATGTAAAATTTGGGAAAATAAAGAGACCTAAAACTCAGAGAAGTTTTTCCATAACCTCTCTCTTATAACATTGCCATTTCTTAACCTTATCCGCTGAATATCTTTCTCTCGATCCGTTACGGTGAAAACGGTCAATTACGTGGCCGGAGCGGCAAATGATGTTAGCCACAATAATAACGCCCATAAAGAGGGTATTTCTGTAAGGCCAAAATGGACGTGTTTTGATCGTCGACATATAGGAGATTCTACTCTCTAAAGCCATTGGCCTTATGCTCCGTCCGGGCTTCAAAGACGGCTCAGTGTTACGAACACATACCACTCGACAATGAATCAAACTGAAAAGGAATGAAAATTGAAGGGCTTGTTTCCGCACCGGACACGATTCTTCCACATTCTTCTCGTCTGACATTCCGCAAGTGAAGAATGGTTAGGTTCTTATTGTTGTTTATTCCACGCGTTTGAGATGTACTCATGTACTTATTGTCTTTCAAAATTACTACGTTTGCACTTTTCTTATCGTATGAAAATCATACCGATTGTAATTTCCACCGTCTTAAAATAACAATTATATCATTTGCAACGGGGGTCAAGTGTTTTCCTAAGCTGACCGACATCCTGTCGCTGGAACAGAGCGCGGACACCTCTGGCGTATACTGGCATAAACACAAGCTTGAAGGGACCGTGTATTCTCCCAACCTACGGTGCAGCTCAGAGGTACATTGCCAAAAACGCACGCGAAAAGTGCGTTTAAAAAACTTGGCGCACACAGGCGTGCAATTTTTCAAAATGCACTTCATACGCGTGCAAAAGAAGCTCATTAGTATGCATGAGGCAGCGTTTGTTGAACCCTCTGTTAAACTTTGAATGCTGTGTTAGAATTATAATAAAGGCTGGATCACCAGATATTGGTGAAACAAATTAATTGATTTTTTCCCGAAGCGTTTGGAGTCGAGTCGTTTTTGATGGTTTGCCTGCATTGTGAAGAAAAGTAAAAAGTTGTTTGTAGCTGGGAACCTTCTTTTAGAAAGATTACAAGATCAGGAAATATTCAGTTCAATAATATCGTTGGCGCAAAAATTTACGGCTAACCCGATAAGGTTTAGCGTGAAAGACATCAGTTTACAGATGATGTTGCAAATCGTTTTCACCGTTTGGGTCATTAGAATCAAAAGTTGATAATGAAATGTTTTTAGGCAAGAGACTGAGCTATAACCTAAAAACAGCTGTTTCCGATAATAATGAATAAAGCTAAATTTCTAACGAAGCGTGACAAATAAACGATCGTGGAAGAAAGTTGCTTAGCCGAATCGAGCTTCGTGTCACAAGCTTTTGATAGCTGAAACTACTCTCATTATATAACAGTTATGGATGGTTTCCTGTAATTGTTATTTTAAGACTTGTAGTTTCAATGTGAAAGTGGGTGCTGGCGTCAGAGGGATAATTTCAAAACACTCATATGTCAGTTCATTTGAGGAGACATTAACACTTCCACAGATACTCAATGAACGCAAAAGATATAGACAAGCACTCAGCTTACCTTGTACGCTTTAAACGGAGTCACATTCGCTGCCACTGGAAATTATTTTCAAACTTGGCCGTCACTGTGAACAAAAGAATGTTAAATACAGTTGCTGTGCCATTAGAATTTGGCATACCATCACCGTTTCTGGCACGAGGGTCAGAAGTATAAAATGAGCCATTTGATTCACTTAAAATAGTCAGTGACACGTCTAAAAATGACAATTGCCTGCTTGTAAGTTATGAAAGTATTCATCTCTCGCCAGCGATTATAGTTTTCAGAAATAAATCCAAGATGGCATCTTTTTTGACATGTTTCGTCTTAACTGCGTTTGCTTTCTTTAAGAGAATCGCAACACAAACAAGCACATATTGGTATGACTGAGATAGCTTGTAATGAGTGTAGACCCTCTCTTCTAACTCGAAGCACTGGACAAACTGAATTTCTTTAGGAAACAATCTACTTGTATGGATCGACGTGCACGTGTAGATGCGAGGAACTAATTTGGTTTGCTGAGACACCATGATACGAGTGTCAATGGACTCTATTATCGCTTGTAACGCTACAGGCAAATGTTTTAGGAGGTTAAGCTTACTAAAGTTGAAAAAAATGCGATAAAGACATGATGAACTATGCGGAAACACTAGCACTTCCACAGATACTCAATGAACGCAAAAGATATAGACAAGCTCTCAGCTAACCTTGAATGCTTTAAACGGAGTCACATTCGCTGCCATAGGAAATTATTTTCAAACTTGGCTGCTACTGTGGAAAACGGTGTTGAATCTTCCCCACTTCAATTCTTGAGTGAAATGGAAAGCTTTGTATTTTGGAAACGATGAAGCGAAAAGCGAGGACACCGTCAGAATGATAATGAGATACTTAATTTTTTTTTAACATTCCTTATAAGGTAAGGTGTGGCGTGAAATACATCGGTTTACAGATGTTGCAAATCATTTTCACCGTTTAGATCAATACAATCAAAAGTTGATCATGTAGAGCTACACCCTAAAAACGACGGTAATAAGAAATAAAGCTCTCTTTTAGCCACAGGGATTTAGGGTAAAGATCATTCTGGAAATTAACGGTAAATCTCTAACGAGGCGTGGTATAAACTGATGAAGAAGTGGGCATGAAATCTTTATAATACTGGGCTTCAATCATGTACCTGATTTACCCGGTTTATAATTATTTTTCGTGGTTGACTGTGGAACTTTTGACTGAATCAGCCGTTAATCATCTCTCGTAAAGAAAAAAATAGTCATTTTGAATGTATAACGAGTCACCTAACTACAGTTTAGCTGCAGGCAAAATTGTAAGAAAACCTGTTAAACTTTGAATGCCGTGTTAGAATTGTAACAAAGGATGGATTCAGATGTTGGTGACATTTGAAATGGTTTGCCTGCAATGCGAAGAAAAGAAGAAAGTTTTTTTGTAGCTGGGAACTTTTTTCAGAAAGAGCCCAAGATCAGGTACTATCAAGTTCAATAATATCGTTGGCGTAAAACTCGAATCGTAAGCATTCATTTCTACTGTTCTACTAGGTTAATTTCAGGTTTACAGGATTAGCGAAGCCGGAAAGTCAGATTTCTTTCTGCCTTTTATCAGTCGTTCGCGTTAAACGTCAAGTTTAAAAACATGTTTGTTTACAAGTAGGCAAGACCGTCGTTACTGTTCGAACGATTTGATTCGTTTAATTAACAAAGGCGCGCGAGGAAAACGCTAACTGCAGCGTTTTTCAAAACAGAAATACGTTTATAATCGATGTGGTCACTTCGGATGTGGATCGCGACGCATGCCGAGAAATCGATGACATTCAGCGGTTGACGTCGTGGGCGCTGCATATGCTAATGAGGGACTTTCAATTCTTAATTTCCACTTGAAAAATACTTCTAATGGGGGTCTGTCAGACATTTTTCAATTGAAATTAGCGTTTTCACAAATAAAGGATTACTATGTTTTGGAAGTTAAAGGTCTTTAAAGATATTATTGAGCAACAGGAAATGTAATTAACTAGAATTATGCATACATGCATAATTCATAAGATCGGAATCAAAATTAGCACACTCCATGCGACGAACAGCTTCAGAACAGCGCAAATCCGCTAAAAAAACTAGGTTACAAAGCCCTTCAAAGATGGCGATTGTTTTTCCTGTGAGTATCAAGACTTCACCAAATTCGACTCATTTTTTTGCTTGCACAGGCGCTCGTTTCCCCAAAGAGGTCGATACCTGGGAAAACATCAAACACGGGATTTTGTCAGCTATTTCGGCCGAACTTAAATGGCTCTCTTTAGCTTGAAATATGTCTAAAATGGATAATCGATCATCGCAGAAGACGTTCAGACGTGAACAATTTGAAAACACTACCTTACATCGGCGTGGTGAGACATGGATAATGGTAAACACAGGCGGATTTAAAGTATCAGAGAGGCCATAAGTGGTCAAAAAAATGACCGTTCGGGGCCGTACTTTGGTACATCGGGGGATCGTAGGAATTCTTGTCAGTGTTGCTTATGTTGTTTTTTTAATTGTTTAGACGTGGACATTTTGACTATCCACTTTATCTCCAAACATAAAGCTGCATTTTATTTATTTCTCACATAAAGCTTTGTACGGCAACCATTTTTAAAGTCTGCAAATCTTTCACACTGCGCATACTCCGCCGCCATTTCGTATTCGATTTCTCCGCGGCATGTTTCGTATGCATGCCACGGTTGGTGTGATATCTTGATGATTTTACCGACCTAATAACGTGTAAATGTAAATGCAAATGTAAATACTGCTAATCATCTTTGGGTCGATGAGGTCGATTGAGCACGCGTCACTTATATGCTGTTGTGCAGCGTGTTTATTTTAAGCAATAAAAATTATGTGTACTCTCGAACGAAAGACCCTGCATCAGCGGAGTTTCTTTGTGAAGAGATAAATGAAGTAGTGGTGAAAAGTATATCAGAACACCATATTTTCTGATTTTATGAAACTGCTGGTTTCTTTCGCAGCCGTTCCCTTGAATGTCATGCAATGCTTCTCAAAGTGACATCCAAAGTTGGGTGTACGGGCATCCAGCGCTATTTCACTGACATTTCGACTTTCACTGTAGTGTTCTGTCTGAAAGAAAAAAATTCAAAACGCTCTGGTTTTTGAACGCGTACTCCTCAGAGAGCGTTTTAAGGCTAACGAAACTAGTTTGTAGCTACTCCATGCTACTGAGTGTGTATTTACCTCATTGTAGACGAACTTTGCAACCAATATTTCTATTTTCGATTTCTTAAAGGTATGTACGTTTACAAGCAGTGCAGAATCCTGCTCTGTCTTGGCCATGTAGTTGATGGCATTTCAAAATTCTCGTTCCCAAACATAACTTGGACAACGTTAACGCAAAAATTGAAATCTCCCCTACTTGAAAAATATAAAAAATGTTCAGTGAACACCACGTTGTAGACAGCGAGCAAGTGAGTTATTGTTAATGCCATGCCATCCAACTCACAGAATTACGGACGTGCCATCTAGTGTTTCTGTTGCATCTTAAACCTTACACTTAGGATTTCTAGACACCATGGCACTATCTACTGAATTTGCTCCTTTGGACTAAATACATATGCCCATTAATTTTCCAATCAGCGGATAAGAAGTTTCATGATGCCAAGGTATCCAACTCACAGAGTCACGGGCGTGCCACCTATTGTTTCTGTTGCCGCTACAAACTTACACACAGGAGTTCTAGACCATGGCATTATTAATTGAATTTGCCCATTTGGATCAAAATACCATTTTTTTTTATTTTTCATGTACCACTCAATATTTAAATAAGCAGTTTAATATTAACAAGGTGTTCAACTCACAGAATCTCGGGTGTGCCACCTTGTGTTTATGTTGCATCTAAATACATGAGTTAGGAGTTCTAGACACAATGGCATTATCACTAAAGCTTGCAATCGATCTTTAAAAAGCTTCCTTCAACACCAGCTCAAGAAAACGCAAATTGAGTAGAACGAATTATTGATTTTTGTAACAATCTGGACGGAGTTATTGTAATCAGTGAAGCCTTCGATAGCACAATTAATTTCATGCGTGTCATTGCCTTATCCGTACTATTCACAGTAGTGCAAAACTTTCAGGACCAAAGATTTAAACTTGCATGGTGTTTTATTATTTTTTCACTATTGGCATGGTCGTATTCAATGACCCTGAAAATGTAAGTGGCTCATGTTACTTACTACTTTATGTTTAACACTTTGCTATCCTGTATATTCCTATAAATCTTACGCGAAGCTGAACACACTCAAAACGTGAAATGGATTACCAGACACAATAACATTATTTAAACGAAAGCTTACATATATTTCAGCGCCGAATGAAAGTAAACAAGAGGTATAGGCGCCCCCATTGCACTCAAGAAACTAAAAGTAGCTGCAATAGCTGTGCTATTGTGATAGTAGTGCAAAGAGGTAAATTGCAGAACAGAAACATTGACGAGTTAGATGGTAAGGAATCCAAGCGCTGTGTGAAAGTCGATGCATACACAATATTCATTTACAGCACTGATGTTAAAATTGCCGGTTAGCGAAATAGGTAATGTGGCACTGCTGCACTTAAACTTAAGAGGTTTTTCTCTTTTAAAATCCCTGTTGATAGAAACTTAAGTCAGATGACTATAAACTCACTCGTTTTCCGTCACTGGCTCGACGACGATAGCCTCTCTTTGTAATCTCGGATAAAAGGATCATCGCGCCTCGTGATACAGCAGATTCTTTCGATGCTGCTTTCACAAGTTAGTTTTTTGTTTCCTAAGGAAATTACTCGACAGGAAAGAAACTCCAGAGCACTGACCAAGGGGAGCCTTTGCCGCACCTAGCTAGTGCAAAGGACTAAAAGGAGTAACTCAGTTTTCTCCTTCAGTTCTGCAAGGCTTGCAGAAAAGACTGCTGTAACGATAGGATTTTGAGTTATCGAGTTTTGATGCTATCGCTAAAAATATATAAAATTCAACGTGGAAACGGTGAGATCTTGCTAAGTTCAACAAAGCGTAAATGCTACCAGTTCCTATTCAGTCAACCATAAACAGTCATTATTACACGACTCGGGCAGTCAGAGGGCCAATAACTAAAATCAACCAATCAAAATGCTCTATTGCCGGTCCAATATTCTCCAAGTATCGGACCAGGCACTGTCCCGAATGGTCCCAAATGATACCGCACTTGTGTCCCTTTGAACTTCAGTCGTATAATAAGTCTCTTATTAACCAAGCTTGCTCGGGACCGTACTGGAAGAATATCGGCCCTCGGTCTTTTTTGTACGGACCTCGCTGCGCTTGGTCCGTACTGTCAAGACCTCGGGCCGATATTCTCTCAGTACGGGCCTCGCGCTTGGTTAATAAGATATATGTACTGTAATCAGTGTCAAACTGTAACCATCACCTGTCATGTCCTTTGGTGTAGTTGTTATCCACCAGAACATTTCGAAAGTAATTAATCTTGCAAAAGGCGAATTCCTCCCTACCCAATCGTTGTAGTAGATAAAGTGATCCTTTAGATAATTTCTAGGAGAAGAAACTCGGGTATTGGCCAAAATATGACATGAAACGTGGTAATAAATGCAACCGAACTGAGACAAAGGAATCAAAACTAGCTTTTTAATGTGTTTCGGATCAGTCATGCATGACAATCTCTTAAATACTAGGTTATGTAAACTAAAGATAGCTTAGGGATGTAGTTTTATCTCGGGTATCGGCCAAAATGCAACAAGAAAAGCGGTAGTAAGTGCAACTGAACTCATCGTGCACACCCGAGACAAAGGAATCAAAATTAGCTCTTTATTATGAAATTTAATAATAATAATAATAATATTAAAATTTATAGTGCGCAAATTCCATAAAATGTTCAAATGCGCATTACAAGATTAAAAATTACCATTAAAATAGGCTTACAATAATTTTAAGAAACAATTAAAAGTAAACTTAGAATGGCTAAAAAAGCTATAAAAATGCACTACGAAAAAGGTGAGTCTTAAGTTTAGCTTTAAAAATATTTACTGTTCCTGCGCTCCTAATATCCAGCGGTAGTTCGTTCCATAGTTTCGGAGCAGCACAGGTAAAGGAACGGTCCCCCAGTGTAGCTTTCGATTTAAATGATGGATGGCTAAGTAAAAGCTTATCGCTGGAATTTCTTAAATTATATTTGGAGGGGGGTCTAAGGGAAATAAGAGAGGATAGATAAGAAGGGGCTAAAAAATTAAGAATCTTAAAAGTAATTAACAATATTTTAAACTCAATTCTATATCTAATTGGTAACCAGTGTAACTTAAAAATTAAGGGCGTAATATGACAAAATTTCTGTTCTTTAAGAATCAGTCTGGCACAAGCATTCTGTACTTGTTGCAGCTTATTCAACAAGCAGTCCGGTAGTCCATATAATAGGCCATTACAATAGTCCAGGCGGCTCGTTATGAATGCATGGACAAGAGTTTCAGTTGACTGCTGTGAAAGGTACTTTCTGATCCGACGAATATTATAAATGTAGTAAAATGAAGAGGCACAAATTTTCGTGATGTGTGTTGCCATGGAGAGCCTTGAATCAAACCAGGAACCAAGATTTCTCGCAATTGGCACGGGGTGTATGTCTGAGTCGCCCACACGTATACTGATATTGTCGAGCTTTCCCAGCTGTTGTGATGTGCCAATGATAAGGAATTCAGTCTTGTCGTCATTTAATTTAAGATCATTATTCAACATCCAAAGACGAATGTCTCTGATGCAGTCCTCCATACTCCTCACTACAGCAAGTTGTTCAGCTCTGTCGTTGGGACTAAATGAGATGTAAACTTGTGAGTCATCAGCGTAACAATGAATCGTGGGCAAATGATATTCAATGATCTCAAAAAGCTTGCTCGTATACAACGAAAACAATAACGGACCCAGACAGGAACCTTGAGGCACACCGCATTCTAATTTAAAAGGTTCCGATAGCGAATCGTTAATCATGATCCGTTGAGTTCTACCAGACAAATAGGACGTAAACCAGGAGAGGGCTTTCCCCTGTATACCAAATGATGACTCAAGTCGACGTAGCATGGTGTCGTGATCAACTGTGTCGAAGGCAGCACTTAAATCGAGCAGAATAAGCAGAGTAACACGTTGACTGTTCATGTTAAGGAGAATGTCATTCGTAACCTTAAGGAGTGCAGTTTCTGTGCTGTGGTTCTGTCGATAGGCGGATTGAAACACTGGGAACAGATTGTTGCCATTCAGATAATGCTGTAGCTGCTTGGCAACAACAGTCTCAACCAGCTTTGAGATAAATGCCAAATTACTCACGGGTCTGTAGTTCTTAAAAACAAGAGGTAATCCATCCTTCTTCAGCAGCGGCCGTACTAGAGCACTTTTCCAGATGCGTGGAAAATAACCAGAATCAAGCGAAAGATTTATTATTTTCGTGATCGGAGGTAGTAGCACATCGGCGAAGTCAGTAAGAAGCTTGGTTGGAATAGGATCAAGAAGACAAGATTTCTTTGATGAAGCTTTGATTAAATCAAACACCTCTGATTCGGACAGGAGAGTAAATTCTGAAAAACAGGAAGCAGTCACAGTACTGGCAGCGTCAATGGTGACAGGAAGGCGGCTCTGGNTGCAATAGCAGACTTGATATCAGCAATTTTTTGAGCAAAGAATTTTCCAAAATCATTAGCCAACTGATAATCATTAGTCGACAGTGGGAGGCCAGGACCATTTGATAAATTCAGCAGGGACTTACTTGCTCTAAATAACCTTCTCTGGTCCGTGCTGTTCTCAGTTATGAAGTTTGTATAGTATGCACTACGAGCCTCGTTACTCAAAAACGTCACTCGATTTCTCATTGCGCGGTAGGATAGTAAATCGATGTGTGCTTTAGAAGCCCTCCATTTCCTTTCAGCTTTCCTCCGTTGACGTTTAGCCGATATAATTTCATGATTCATCCATGGAACACGAGTTCTAATAGTAACATTCTTTTGCTTAACAGGAGCGTGCCGATCCAGCAGGGAACGCAATGTGTTGTTGAATAAGGCGGCAAGCTCGTCAGGATCTTCAGTATCCGTTTGAAGAAGCTCGCTGTTACAGATTTCATCCGCAAAAGCAGACTTATCAATTGATCGCAGCTTCCTAAATGAGACACGCCCAACTTTGAGAGGTGGTCGAGGTGTTTTCAATTTGAAAAGTAACGCTAGATGATCCGAAAATAGAATGTCAGGCGATGGTCGACCGCTAATAAGGTTGTCTGACGTTCGAGTAATTACCAGATCTAGTGTATGACCAAGTTCATGCGTTGGTTCTGTCACATGTTGAGTTAAAGACATTGACTCCAATAAATCCAAAAAGCGACAAGCAGCTGAATCATTGTGATCATCAACATGGATGTTAAAATCGCCAGTTAAACACAGGACGTCGTTAGATAGGATAACAGATTCAAGGTACTCTGAAAATTCGTCAATAAAGCTGTTTACAGTCACAGGATGATTAACAGAGTACGGCGGTCGATAGATGATTGCCAGTCGAAAGCGTAGGGAGCCAGTGCAGACAAGGTATTCAGAAGATTCAAAGGAAATCCTTGAAACAGTTTCGAGCTTGGAAACATTGATGTTATCTCTGAACAAGAGGGCCGTACCTCCACCTCTACGATCACCCCTAGGGCAGTGTAACAGTTTATAGCCAGCAGGAGTTATCTCGTAGCACACAGCGGAGTCGTTGTCTGATAACCAAGTTTCAGTTATTGCAACTAGGTCAGCTTTGCATTCGTCGACATAATCAACAAACAGTGCAGATTTGTTTGAAATAGAACGAGCATTTAACGTGCACATGGTCAGCTGAGTGTTCGATGTACTCAAATGGAGATCAGATACGCGGTTTACCTGCACAACGTTGGAGCGGTGGCTATGATGATGGCTTCGATGTTTAACTGCTCGACGATTTGTTGTAAAAGACGTAATTGGTGGACCAGGGTTCGGGCTGATGTCGCCACTAGTTGTTAAGCGAAGACTCGTTAGGTTAAAGGAAGAAACAGAGTTCGGAGTATGAGATATCCGAGCAGTGAAGTAGCGATGTGATCTTGTTGAAGATGAAAATCCAAGATGGCGGAACAAACGCATCGACGACGAGCAACTTGCACGGTATAAATCCACTTCATTAGTGGTCTTTGTAACTCCAGAATCATCAAGGGCATAAGATGGACAGAAAATGAGCGTATTTAGATAAATTAAAGAGCGACTTAAACAACAGAACAGATATAGATAAGTGGCTATGGCGGAGCCGAGAAATTCGAATTAGTCATGACAATCTATTATGTAGACTAAAGATAGCTTAGGGATGTGGTTTTGCCTGCCCTAAAGCTTCTTTATTTACGATGTATTTATTTCATAGTATTGTTCAGACTTAAAAATCTTGTACAAGTGATCGAAGTTTTGCAATTGTGATTCTCAAATGAATGAGTAGGAGTATATAGCAAGATGATGGATGTAATTTTCTTCATTTTCACTCGACGACTATGCCATTGCTTATTATATATAGAACAGTTTAACAAATCTTACTCGTGTAGGTTATGTTAGAGTTGTCTAGATACACTTGGTTTTCTGTTGGCGTAAGTTTCCTTAAAATATCGTAAGGCTTTTTGCTAAGTTTCGCACTCCAAGTATATGGCACATAGACTGTATTTACCTTTTTCCTGAGCTCCATTGAATTATTGAAATTTTTTGGGTGGACAGATTTTCCTCCAGACTTTTTGCGATAATAAAAATCAGTCAAGAAGCAAGGACACTTTCTAAGAATGCAATCCATTAGACTGTTTCCAAAAAAAGCCGGAAAGATCATTCACACAGAAAAGATCAAGCTTTCAACAACCAATAGGGCACGGACACTTTTCAGGCTAAATTGCGTCAATTGACGAGTAAAGAAGTAAGAAATCTTGGTGCTGGGACTGTTAAACAAAATATTCTCTCAAGTGCTCCATATAGTACTAAATAACTCTTTATTTTCTATGAAGCTCCGATGTCAGCCGTTAATAAACATTTTACAACTGTATCCGTCTAGCTGTTTATTGACAAAAAAAAATACTCTTTATGGGACATAAGAATCTAACGACGATATCTTCCGAGATCGAATGTCAGAGGTCAGTTATACCAAAGTTGCCATTTGGGATTAGCCTGCCATTTATTTACAATTTTACTTTCTATCGATTTTCCAGCGTTGTAATAAAAAAACTCACGAAAATCTGAAGTCGCTGGGTGTGTGACTTCATATCGTTGGACTTAACTGATGTAATAAAATGTTCTTTAGCATGTATTCAAAAGATTACTAAACTCCATGATCCAGTTTTTTAGCATTGCCTTATTCAGGGCCCCATCGTGTTCATAGCCTAGTTTAAATGGATGGATAAACGCCAAGGTGGGGTTATATATCCTCCACAGGAATTCAGACTGTTTGTCCCCTACCCCGGGCATGTAAATCCCCGGGATATCCTCAAAATTGTCCTCCTTGTCAATTATTCGACAGATTGCAGGAACTGCAATTTCCAAGAACGTACGATACTTGTGGAAGATGTGAGACAGTGTTTTGAATTCATCCGCAAATTTTCGAGGAAGGTAAAATATGTCTGAGCGACCCCGAGGGCAAAGAAATGTCCAGTTCCTGTTCTGTTTGGAAAGATCAATCGACCCTTTGATGTTCCCTAACACGCCTCGGGAATGGCCGGTGCCATTAACTGATAGACTGCTCATCGTCGACAATGTTTCAGTTGTAGAGGAGTTGTATAGAACCCAGATCTCCTCGTATGCCTTCTGACAGGAGCTCTTTCCATAAATGGAATTCCACCAAGACCATTTTTCAGGCTGAGTATACTCTGATAGAATCGGTACTTTTGGCCCTTCCCAGATTTTGTTACGGTCCATTTCAATTAAATTCCAGTAGTTAAGTATTACGTCATCGCCGATGAGTAAATATCCCTCGTATGCCGGATATTTTTCCATGGCACGTGACATACACGCGTAGCCGAAGTATCCTCTGAAAATGTGACCAACCCACTCGACGTTGTGTTCTTTTGATTCTTTTGCTCCGCAAAACATGATCGTGGGAAATGCATTCTTGTAAAGACCTGAGAGTGTTGGGATACTTGAGTAGAAAGGAAAGTTGTACACAATTACAAGCACAATGTCTGAAAACGCATTTCGAAGGCAGGAAGATTTTACTTTATTGGGTACAGCTGGCAAAAGATCATAAATTTCTGTTTCATTGCGTACAGCTGATAAAAGATCATAAGTACTAGCTTCATTGCGCACCGCTGTTAGAGGATCGTAATTTAATTCTCTTGGAACAAGACAGTTACTAGAGTTGGGAACAAAGCCTGCAAATAACAAAAGATATAAGTGAGAAAGTGAAAGGAAGAAAGGGGCGTTTAGGGCGCCCCGTTCTTCATCGCTCAATTCCATTCCTTGTGAGTACGCTGTAAAAGAAGCCTGTTAACCTGCGAAGAGACCAGTCATTATTAACGCGGGGAGGGGGGGTTTGGAGAATTTTAGATGATCACATGGTTCTCAATTTCCGGGGGGAAGGGGGCTGGGGGATCATTCGTCTCCAGGAGAGTTTAAGAAAAGGGCTTATTGAAAATTGACTGCCAATTAACTACCAATAATAAAGGAGGAGGTTATAAGAGTATTGCAGAGCCTTAATGAGGGAATAGCTAATTGTTTATTTTGATACAACCTAAATCTTCCAAGTCCCCCCACCCCTTGGCGAAAAAAAATTATCGGTCCCTTAGGAATTTTTGATATCCCATAACTGAACTTTATTTCTTCCTTGCAAAAATCTCACCTATAGCTCATTCGATATCAGTCTGAGATATGCTCCGGAGCGACGCAGGAAAGTTAGGCATGGGCAGTTCTGAAGTCCCCACGCGCGGTCTCAAATATCTGTTGGTTTGGTTGACACCGAAAAAAACTGTATGTCTTATTTTAAGTCAAGAAGGCCTTATTGTGAAGGCTTCTTTGTTCTTAAGATGAGCCATACCCCTTTACCTTCGTTTAGCGTCGAATGCATTTCTGGTCGTTTTTTGGTCGGTGGGATTGCGAAAAAAAAAACTCCAAGCATTTAAAAGGAAACTATCTCACTTACCATAGATGATGCCATATATTAACGACATTGATAGAACAACAAACAGAGCCAGCCATCGACTTGACATCAAAATATTGCCGCAGAATATGTGATTCGACATGGCACACCTCCAGTTCGCACGTTTTAGAATGGCGAATAGCGTTAACAACTTGAGCAGTTTCACAATGGCTTTTTCCTGTTGATTGAGCAAACAATTCGATCACCGCACAATTCCTCCACTACTTCCAACAGCATCATCTTTAGCCTAAGAACGAAGGCTTGCATTCTGGTTTGGCTGTATAATTGATATTTGAAACTCTCTGGTTTGGGAAAAATTGAGACAATATGAGAAAATTTTCACATATGAATAAAAGAAGTACGTATTACGTATATAAACGATGAAACAAAGAAAGCTAAGTACACAATAGTTAATATATACAGGTGACAATAAGAGATAATAACAATGATATTTTAATATAAAAGTTATAAATACGTGGTTGGAAAAAGGAAAGCTGAAAAGAAAGTCTAAAATAGCTTTACTTAAAACTTTTGAAAAGTTTTATGTAAGTGACGCTATTTTAGACTGTCTTTTTTCCCTTTTTTTTCCTTTTCCCAACCATGTATTATATCTTTTATATATGAATATATCAATAAAGATTTAGAAATGCAAAAACTAGCAAAAACTAACGATAAAAACCGACGTTTCGGTGTCATCATGACGCCATTGTCAAGGAGAAATAAAAAATAAAGTTTGTGGCAAAGTGTAACACTAAATTAGCATAAATATGTTACGAGCTAATTAAACAAATACTTTTGCGCGAATTGAATCGCTTTGCACGTTCAGAGTGGGTTTTAAGTCTCTGATGAAAAGCATTTCGTTCACCAAACAATCGAACTTGTTACTACACTTTTTCAGAATGCTAAAACGTTTCAGTAGGTCTTTCGGGACTTCGCTGTGCCGTTCGTGGTAGTGTTTATATATTGAAGATGCCTTTCGTTTATGTCCATCCACGCGTGTGTGTAAGTGTCCGCGTGTATAGCCCACATAACCCGCATCACACAGGTCACATTGAAATTGATAAACGACGCGTTGTTGGTTGACAATCTGTGGCTTGATTTCTCGTACTTTAAGATCTTGGCCAACTTTGCGGCTAACAAATACTGGCTGGACAGTTGTCTGCACCTTCATGCTAAGATTCTTGAGCTCTTTCTTAACATAATTTGCTGATTCCTGATCTTTGAAAGGTATGACCACACGAACAATGGATATTGGTTCTTTGGGCGTCTGTGTGGGCTGCGTACCAACAATTCTTGATTGTAAGAAGGTGTTAATGGTAGAATTTACCAGGCGTTCCGGGTATTTAAGCCGTGCGAAAACTTTCTTTAGGCGATCACACTCATCAGAGAAATGGGGCCNGCACCGAACTACTCAACCATGCACCTCGGATTGAAACCAAGGTATATGTGAAACCAACAAACACGGGCCTACTATTACACTACCAAAGCCATGTAGACAATCGCTACAAACGGAGCTTGCTGAAAACTATGCTGGATCGCGCACACCGATTATCTTCCTCCTGGGCCCATTTCTCTGATGAGTGTGATCGCCTAAAGAAAGTTTTCGCACGGCTTAAATACCCGGAACGCCTGGTAAATTCTACCATTAACACCTTCTTACAATCAAGAATTGTTGGTACGCAGCCCACACAGACGCCCAAAGAACCAATATCCATTGTTCGTGTGGTCATACCTTTCAAAGATCAGGAATCAGCAAATTATGTTAAGAAAGAGCTCAAGAATCTTAGCATGAAGGTGCAGACAACTGTCCAGCCAGTATTTGTTAGCCGCAAAGTTGGCCAAGATCTTAAAGTACGAGAAATCAAGCCACAGATTGTCAACCAACAACGCGTCGTTTATCAATTTCAATGTGACCTGTGTGATGCGGGTTATGTGGGCTATACACGCGGACACTTACACACACGCGTGGATGGACATAAACGAAAGGCATCTTCAATATATAAACACTACCACGAACGGCACAGCGAAGTCCCGAAAGACCTACTGAAACGTTTTAGCATTCTGAAAAAGTGTAGTAACAAGTTCGATTGTTTGGTGAACGAAATGCTTTTCATCAGAGACTTAAAACCCACTCTGAACGTGCAAAGCGATTCAATTTGCGCAAAAGTATTTGTTTAATTAGCTCGTAACATATTTATGCTAATTTAGTGTTACACCTTGCCACAAACTTTATTTTTTATTTCTCCTTGACAATGGCGTCATGATGACATCGAAACGTCGGTTTTTATCGTTAGTTATATGAATATATATCATTGTTATTATCGCTTATTGTCACCTGTATGGATAAGCTATTGTGTTATTAGCTTTGTTAAAAGACAAAATTGAAATCAAGGAAGAATTTTCATTAACTGTGTTTTTAGACTCACTTAGGTGTTAAGAAAAGGAATGGAAATATTATCTTACTTTAAGCTTTTCAATGCAAAAATTAAAATAAGAAGTTTGATTATTTCCCATTCATTTTGGCGGTCTCATCTAAAGTACAATTTTTTTAACCTTTTTCTTATTGTGGTTATGAATTTTGCACGGAAGGAGATGTTCAGTTTCTAAGTGGTAGAATATTTCGCGGTAAGCTATGTTTTTAATCATGTCAATCTGCTAATTAAGGAAGGAATAAATCTCTCTGGTTAAAGTTAACCTCGTACAGGAATTCCTGGAAATTCCTACTTCTTATACTTTTGATTATTCTCAGACCCGTTTTTTGGATCAAATTTTATGTCAAATTCACGATAACGAATATTTCTTGAATTTCAATTTAACACCTTCAACACCTTTTTCCTTAAGGTGACCCTAAGTGTAAACAGCTGATGCCTTTTCATCTTCCTCATTGAATTTTTAATTAGATAATCTGCTATAAGACCATTTCTGGGGGCGGTGCTCGTGAACGCCCCTTCTTCTCAGAATATTCTGCTTATTCTGTTGTTATGTAAAAGTCTTCTAAGGCTATTTTCTTTTAAGATATCTTTTCAAAAGTGATTCTGATCCTGCCAATAGGTTAACTATAATTTTTATATCATCAATCTTGTTTCTGATCTGGCCGATCTTAACCATAAAAGTATGAAATTGAAGGTAGAAAATGATTGTGTAATTGCGTAAACAACTCGAAGGCTCATACTTAGTGTGCAGGAACTGTTGTACATAACTTAACATGATTTGCTGGTTGAGATAGAACGAGACGATGCAAGGAGATTGACAGCCTAATAGAATCACCTTTAGCGTCGCTTTTATAAGCTGGTGCACAACATTTTCATTGAGAATAGAATTGAATTGAATTGAGTAGAGTTGAGAGCTTAACTGGTCCCAAAAAAAAGAAAGTTGTATTCAAAGCCAAGAAATAAAGGAATATCAGCTGAGTGTTAGAAAAAGCATCTAACAGCTTTCTTTGTTTCAAAATTTTTAAAGGAAAAGAAATTTGTTGTGGGGATCACAATAATTCCGTAAAAGAAAAGCTTTCCAAGAACCCCTTCAGGGTCGAGAGATATTGGCGCTTACACGTCTAATATTATTAGAGATTTATCTACTTCATTGAAAAAGATTCTAACATTACTCAGTTAAACTCAACCGAGACCTGATAATCTGGATATGGATATGGGGCGCCAGAAAAAGAATACTTCCCCACTCTAGAAGGCTGGTCATCTCATAGAATATTCTTTATTGACTTTCCGTTTAGATTTAGCGAAAGGGTCAAGTAAATTATGGCTTAGGCTCGTGGCCAATAAACGCGCGCTCTAATTGGCTTAGATTTTGAGCAGAACATTATATTACCACCCCTTATTATCCAATGGTGCTTCGTAGAGTACAATAACAGGCGAGACGACAACAAATATCACGCGATATTTGTACTCCAGAAATATCCGCGAATTCGCCCGCAAAGAAATAAAAATTTGGCGTGTTGGATAATAAATCTCTTATTAGACGTTTTATTGTGTAGCATCGCTGAGTATTTTTACTCATTGTTTGTATTTTGACTCGCCTTACGGGCTCGTCAAAATACGGCACAACTAAGTCTCGTAAAAATACTGAGCGATACTACACAATAAAATGTCTAATAAGATATATGTATTGCCCACGTGCCGACTTTCGGGTTAGGATTGTGTTGTAATAGTCTTGTTGGAGTAATCTGTATTTACTTTGTAACCATCTGTTTGTAAGTGATCGAGAACCACTTTGGATAGTATTTGTTACGTGTTTCAGAGAAATTGCCGTTCAAATGAAATGAAATCGATGTTCAGTATTTGAATCTGTTCATGGCTGAAAGGGCCTCACTCAAGCAGATCAAGTATATTTATATTATCTCTCAAGCTTTTTTATACGTAATCGCCAAAGTATGATGCCCTATTTTAAGACAGCAATATGTGCGGAGTGTTGACAAGGGCTAAGAACACTTTGCTGAAGCATTTTTAAGAAGAAAATTACAATTATTATAGTTGTTTTGTTAAGATAACAGTTTTCAGAAGAAATCCAAGATGGCGTCCATTTTTACATGTTTCGAATTGACTGCGTTTGCTTTCTTTTAAGTGCCCATGACACGAAATTGTTTTTTGCGCTTTTAGTTAGCTTATCGTATGTACAAACCAATTTCAATAAAAGAAAAATGTCCACGAAAAAAAAAAAAAAAATCAAAAGTCGGCTCTTTCGGACGCTAAAGTGCTCTTATTTAGTCTTTAAATAGTCCAGTAGACTGGTGACGAATTAGCGAGGGATTTTTTGAAATTTATTATTGCCTAATTATTTCTCTAGATATATGCATGATATAATGATAGGTGGCTTAATTTTAAAGGAATCTTGCACTCTGTTTTAAGCCTGCCTCAGATTGAGCGATTGACTGATTCAATTATCTTTGTATTTATAAAAATCTGAAATTTGATTAAGTAAAAAAAAAAAACTATTCCCTGTAAGTCATACAAGACGCCTTGAAATCTACAATGACGTGAGCTCACGCGATACTAAAGCAGGAAGGTTTGCACAATTATATGTGAAACGTGAAAGGGCAATCTGACGTTTGCCGTTTCACGTAAACGTGATGCGTAATCTCTCTATTATTCCTTCGCACTAAGTGCGACGAAGGCTCCGCTTGGTCAGTGCTCTAGAGTTTCGTTGCTGTAGAGTAATTCCCTTAGCAGCCGAAAAGCTAACTTTAGAAAGCAGCATCGAAAGAATCTGTATAACGATGCGCGATGATCTCTCGCCGAGAAGTCATCGGGCAGTTTTACTACAAGTTACTCATTTTATCCGAGATTGCAAAGACAGAGGCTATCGTAGTCGAGCCGGTCAAATGGAAAAACGAGTGGGTTTATAGTCATCTGATTCAAGTTTATCTCAAATAGGGATTTTTAAAAAACTTCTTAAAAAAAATTATAAAAAAGCAAAAAAATCCAACAATGAAAATCACTGGGCCGCCTATCGTACTTTGAACAATTCTTTGAAAAAGAAATGCAACTCAGCCAAACGGAGACATCTTGAGGCATTCGCAGATAAATTGCAGGTAGAGAATAATTCCAAGCCTTTTTGGAACTACATGCGTTCAATAAGAACGCATGTAGTTCCAATTTAATTGAATTTAATGTAGTTCAATTTAATTGAACTTAAACGCACAGTAGGCGGTAAATACAAAGATATTTTGTCAAACTTGTACAAAACCTTGGTTCGTCCAATTTTGGAATACGCCTGCCCGGTGTGGTCACCACACCTCATCAAAGACATCGATGAAATTGAGAAGATACAAAGAAGAGCCTCGCGAATTGCCTTAGGCCAAAGAAGACAAGAGATGGCTTATACGGAGAGGTGTAAAATTCTTAAATGGAACTCTTTAGTACAAAGGAGAGTTTTCCTTTCCTTAGTGGAATGTTATAAAACTGTATTCAATCTAAATGGATTGAATTTCAGCGACTATTTTGAACTTTGTAAAAACACTAAATCGAGATCTAACCACCCATATAAACTACAACTCAAACTCGCAAAACTGAACTGTTACAAAATTTCTTTCTTTGTCAGAATTATCAAACCTTGGAATAATCTTCCTATTAATTTATTTAATTTTTGTGACAAAACCTATTGTTCCTAAAAGATGGAAGTGTAGAAATTATTGGGGATCAGGAGATTGCATAACATATGAACGCATATTTTGCATCAGTATTTACACAAGAACAAAAGTCTCTTCCGGAATTTGATCATGTTCTCAATGAAAAGTTGTGCAATGTATTATGTACACCTAGTGAAGTGGAAAAACATCTGAGAAACCTAAACATACACAAATCCCCAGGTCCTGATAAATTATCGCCTCGTATCCTAAAAGAATGTGCACTGGAACTATCTACGTCACTTTGTAACTTATTTAACATGTCGTTCCAATCCGGCTCACTACCCAACGACTGGAAAATTGCACACGTTATTCCAATTTATAAAAAGGGACCAAAATATAAAAAAGGAAAACTATCGCCAGGTCTTGTTAACATCTATCATCAGTAAAACGGCGGAGAAGATTGTGAAATCGAGAGTTGTCTCATTTTGGACGGAACACCAACTACTGAACCCAAGCCAATTTGGATACCTGGAAGGCCGATCGACAGTGTCACAACTATTAAGCTGTTATAATGACTGGTGCTTAACAAGAAATTCGTCTAAAGTGTCTGATGTAATATTTCTGGACCTGTCAAAAGCGTTCGACAGTGTCCCTCATGAGCCCCTACTTTTAAAACTCAATCCGGCTCATAGGGATACGGGATAGACGAGCAGCTGCACCTGTGGTTCAAGAACTTCTTAACCAATCGAAAACAAAGAGTTATGGTACGTGGATCGTACTCGGATTGGTCACCAGTTACATCTGGTGTCCCTCAAGGCTCAGTACTGGTACCGGTTATGTTCCTTATTTATGTGAACGAAATACCTGGCATCATCACGTCTACTGCCAAATTATTTGCCGACGATACCAAAATCTACCGACAGATAAATAATATCGATGATTCTATTGCTTTACAGATAGATCTGACCACCCTCGACCTATGGGCGGATCGTTGGCAGATGAAATTTAATTCAAATAGTTCACAAAGCAAATAAGGTTCTTGGCTTACTTAAACGCACAGTAGGCGGTAAAAACAAAGATATTTTTTCAAACTTGTACAAAACCTTGGTTCGTCCAATCTTGGAATACGCCTGCCCGGTGTGGTCACCACACCTCATCAAAGACATCGATGAAATTGAGAAGATACAAAGAAGAGCCTCGCGAATTGCCTTAGGCCAAAGAAGACAAGAGATGGCGTATACGGAGAGGTGTAAAATTCTTAAATGGAACTCTTTAGTACAAAGGAGAGATTTCCTTTCCTTAGTGGAATGTTATAAAACTGTATTCAATCTAAATGGATTGAATTTCAGCGACTATTTTGAACTTTGTAAAAACACTAAATCGAGATCTAACCACCCATATAAACTACAACTCAAACTCGCAAAACTGAACTGTTACAAAAATTCTTTCTTTGTCAGAATTATCAAACCCTGGAATAATCTTCCTATTAATTTATTTAATTTTTGTGACAGCCCTAACGTTCGTGAGTTTAAATCAAAATTGAAGAAACATATGAATATTTATTGAATCGTCATTTTATAATTGATATTTAGCTGTTTCTTATTTGACTTTTTTATATTTTTATTAACTAGTTCTGTAAGATTTTTTACATAAATAGGAGACCCTTGATATAGGGCCAACCTCTGGGTTTCCTTTTTTTTTAATAATTATGTATTTGCATATTGTTCTGAAATAAAGTATTGTTAAGCTCAAGTGCAGATTTCCACATGACCAGGTTTCGCATTGTTTCGTTCGACGACAGGATGTCGGTCAACTCAGGAAAGCACTTGACCATTATCACAAATGATGTATTTCTTTGGTTTTAATACGATGGAAATTACAATCGGTAGGAGTTTAATGCGATAAGAAAAGTGCAAGTGTAGGTATGTGAAAAGACAAGGAGTATGAGTACATTTGGAGCACTTGAAATAAACAACAATAAAGAGCTCACCATTCTTCGCTTGCGAAACGTCGGACGAAAAGAAAAAAAAGTGGAACAATCTGGTGTAGGAACAGGCCCCTTAGTAAGTAATCATTTTTAGCTTGATTTATTGCCCATCTTCCTCTGATTTGACGAGTGGTATGTGTTCATAACAGCCGTCTTCGAAGCCGGGACGGAGAATAAGGCCGATGTCTTTAGAGAGTAAAATCTCTTCGATGTCGAAGATCGAAACGCGTCCATTTTGGCCGTACAGCTACATTCTTTGGAAAGTAATATATATAATATCTTGTGTATGTGTATCATTCTTGTAGCCAACATCATTAGTTACGCCGTGGCCGCTCTGGCCACGCAATACGTTCTTCCCCTCTTCTTGAATTCTCCTTTCTCCACCATATTCGTGTATTCGCAGTTTTCTACATCACGGCGATGTAACATGATCGTTTTGGCCGCGCGCTAAATTAGGCACTTTTGGGCCGCCAAATCGTACTTTCAAAGCGTAAAAAACGATTAAGTAGAACTCGCCAGGCGCTAAGATCGATTATTGCAAATCTAAATACTGCTATCAAACACAAAACGCCAAAACATTTTTCGTGTCGTGGGCACTTTAAGAGAATCGCAACACAAACAAGAACACATTGGTACGGTGTCTATCCTCTCTTCTAACTCGAAGCACAAGTCAAACTGAGTTTATAGGGAAACAATCTACTTGCATAGAACAACGTGCGCGTAAAGATGCGATGTCGTTTGACTAATGAACCAAAGGCACCTTTTTTGGTTTACTGGGACACCATTATACCAGTGTTAACCAACTCTATTATCGTTTAAAACGTTACAGAAAAATGTTTTCAGGGGATTAAACCTACTAAAGGTGAAAAAAATACGATAAATATATGATTAACTATGCGAAAACACTAGCATTTCCACAGATGGTAAATGAACGCGAAATGATATACACCGTTAGGCACTTACCTTACCAAGTACGCTTTAAATGAAGTCACATTTGCTGCCACAGGAAAACCTGCCTTTCTACTGATTACTCTAGTTAAATGATGTTCCCACCAAAATTTTGAAACGCAGTATAAAATAAATGCATAGAATAATCTTACCTGCAAGAGATAAGCTGCGATTTAACACGTCGAAATTTTTTCTTTGAAGAAATATCACTTCTCTTGCATGTGAACATATCATAAGAATGGACGACCAATAGGAAATATCTTAATCCATGATCTGATATACTACAGGCTAAGTACAAAAGTGACCGTTGTGTTCCAGATATTTTTGACAGCTTCAAGATCCCCTAAGCTAGCTTTTGTCAGAAAACGGTCTCGATGATTGATTATCTTTAAGAGAAAACTAAGAAAACGAGGCCCTTCAAAACACTTCCTTTCCGGTAGTTCCGAATTCAGCGCTTCGACTACGTTTGCAAAAAGTCAACTGATATGGCCCTAGCCAGCTTGATTTAGATTATTTCAGAAGTAGAGTGCCTGAGTGATCTTTCTGCTAGTAATTTCTAAACATAACATTTTTTTAACTTAATGAACACCGGTGATAAAATTTCAAGTTCGAGTCATCAGTTTGTACAAAGGACTATTTCAGACGAGTTTAATTTCAGGTAAGATTGTTCCTTGCAGTTTGCTGCTATTTTTTAGAGACTTTGAATTTGGTCTATAATGTGGAATATCGACAGTGCTGAATCTTACGCACTTCATTTCTTGGAGCTTCGTAAGTTGGAGGCGATGAAGTGAGAAGCGGCGACACATTCAGAATAATGAAGATACGCAGGTTTTGTTTTTTGCATTCCTTATAAGGTAAGATGTGGAATGACACACATCAGTTTACAGATGTTGAAAATTATATTCACCGTTTTGATCAGGAAAGTCTAAAAGAGGACTGTTGTCGGTTACAACGAATAAAGCTCTCTTTCAGCCATAAAGATTTATAGTATAGAACGTTCTGGAAAACAAAGCTAAATTTCTGACGAAGCGTGACATAAACCTGATGCCCCCGGTTTACAATTCCTTTTTGTGGCTGACAGCAGACTGAATAAATTAACTATAAGTTATCGCTCTAAAAGAAAAAATTAGTTATTTTGAATGCAGAATGTATCGCCTAGCTACAGAGTAGCTGCAGGCAAAATTGTAAGAAAATCTGTTCGCGAGGGAACGCGTTCTTCGAACTGGTTGCCCTGTTACGATTCTTTGAGATGCGGTGACTCAATCGTTTTATTTCCCCAAACTTGTAATTTTCTTTAGCTGGAGGGGAGGGGAGGGGAGGGGAGGGGAGGGGATTGAGTTTGAGATTGACAAGAAAAGCGGATTTTGCTTCCACGCGGTCTGTTTTATTTTAAAATTCAAAGACAAAATTAGCAGAATCGACATCTCGTGCTGTTGAGGGTTTCTTTTCCCGGTCTCTGCTTTCGATATCATACTTGACTAGCTTCATTCAATTATAACATTTGAATCACGGTTCAAAAATTGGGGTTGAAAGCTAAGAATAAGCGGTAGATAAATAAGTTAACTGCTCAAAGAGCAATAAAAGATAAAATAGATAAACGAATGGATGGATAAGTGTAGAGATGAATGAATGAGAAAAAACTATTAAATGTGTATGTAGATAAAAAAAAATATTGGAAAGATGAGGTTGCGTGAAATGTCTGTCGGGTACACAAGTTTAGTTGCTCTGTAAGGAGTGAACCTGAGGGAATTAATTTTCAAGTCCTTTTTGAGAAGACACCTTTGCTAGCAGCCAGGGTTAATCTGAGCAGTTCTATTCGCTACAGGGTGAACTTAAAATCTTTCCAGGATACATTTACCCCAATTCCAACCGAAAGTTTCGTTTCGTGGACATAGAGAAGTTATAATTTGAATTAAAATGCATTTGAAATTGTAGCATCTTAAATATGAAATAACGCCAACCCTGTACATGTAAAATACCATATGGTGGGAAACAGTGACGTTGCTCGGCAGTGCACAATCGCGATCTTCTTCGGATGGACGTGCTATGATGTAATTTCCGTTAACGAGGACTGAAAAAAAAGTTGAAATTAGATGGGATAGATTAGGTGGTACCGGTGAGTTTTTCAACTTGCCGTAATTGGAAAATCATTTACAGACTTGTAATAAAGAGGTACTGTATGGTTATATTCATGTATGTAGTAGTCTAACATTTACTGTTTCTTAATTGAAGATAACGATGCGAATTTATATGAATATTTTCCCGAATCTATGTCAGCACTGATACCAAAGAATCCATTAAATGATAAAGGAATGCCCATGGAAATGGAATGGAGAGCAATGGAAAGAGATACCCAACCAATTAACTAAAGAATTCTTTCAAGAACAGCTATATATTTATTTTTCCTCGCTAGAAAACAAACAAAGAAACAGGCAAACACATAGAAAATAAACATAAAAACGAAAAATACAAATAAAAGTATCCCAAAAACAAAATGAAGTGGCGGCCGCCGAGTTGAAATTTGGACATGTCGAAGGAAGATAGCGCGCGGTGGGGGGAAGACAAACCCCGAGAGCAAACAGCAGGTTGGGCTATCTTAAGCAGATTGGGCTATCTTAAGCAGATTGGGCTATCTTAAGCAGATTGGGCTATCTTAAGCAGATTGGGCTATCTTAAGCAGATTGGGCTATCCTCAGGAGATTGGGCTATCTTCGCTGCTGCTGAAGAGCACCTAGTGTCGACCATGGATATCCAGTGGACCTTGATTTTTGCCGTTCTTTTTCCTCGCCTCAGTCGATGTTTTTCTTGTCGAGCTCATCTTGGACAGTGTGCCTCCATGCGTTTTTGCGACATATTCTTATTACCAAAAGTGACTCAGTTCTCTATCTGTAAAGATTAACCCTTAGTATTGGGGAAACTTAAGAAACCTCTTATTACGATGGCTATTGATTCAGTTAATTTCCTTAACTCAGGAACCTTTACCTCGCCTTTGTTTGCTTTGTCTGCATATCTTTGGACTCGCTGATAAATTTTCTCTAGCATATACTCAAACTATTACTGTACTCCATGATCCAGTTTTTTAGCAATGCCTTATTCAGGGCCCTATCGTGTTCATATTCTTGTTTAAGAGGATGAATAAATGCTAAGTTGGTGTTATATGTTTTCCATAGGAATTCAGACTGGTTGTCGCTTACCCGGGGCAGGTAAATCCCAGGGATATATTCAAAATTTTCCTCCTTGTCAATTATTCGACACATTGTAGGAACTGCGATTTCCAAGAACGTACGATAATTGAAGAAAATAGAAGATAGTGTTTTGAATTCATCTGCAAATTTTCGAGGAATATAGAAAATGTCTGAGCGACCTCGTGGGCAAAGAAATGTCCAATTTCTGTTCTGTTTGATGTCCCATAACGGATCTCCGGTATGGACAGTTCCGTTAACTGATATAATGCTCATGTTCAACAACTTTTCAGCTCTAGAGGAGTTGTATAGAATCCCGATATCATCGTATGCCCTTTGACAAGTCCTCTCTCCAAAAATGGAATTCCACCAAGCCCATTTCTCAGTCTGTATGTGCCTGGTTAAAATCGGTATCTTTGGCCCTTCCCAGATTTTGTTACGGTCCATTCTAATTAGATTCCAGTAGTTGAGTATTAGGTCATCGGCGATGAGTAAATATCCCTCGTATCCCGGATATTTTTCCATGGCACGTGACATGCACGTGTAGGAGAAGTATCCCCTGAAAACGGACTGAACCCACTCGACGTTGTGTTCTTTCGACTCTCTTCCTCCGCAAAACATGATCGTGGGAAATGCATTCTTGTAAAGACCCGAGAGTGTTCGGATACTCGAGTAGAGAGGAAAGTTGTACACAATTACAAGCACAATGTCTGAAAACGCATTTCGAAGGCAGGAAGATTTTACTACATTGCGTACAGCTGGTTGAGGATCGTAGGTTACATCTCTTGGGACCAGACAGTTACAAGAGATGGGAACAAAGCCTGCGAATAGCAAAAGATATAAGTGAAAATGTGAAAGGTGGAAGGGGATCGTTTAGGACACCCCCGTCTTCACTGCTCAATTCCATCCATGTGGGCATGAGTACGCTGTAAAAAGGAGCCTTTTAACCTACGAAGGGACCAGTCACTATTAGCGCCTGGGGAAGAGGAGGTTAGATTTCGAGGATTTTGGACCATCACATGGCTCTCAATTTCAGGGGGGGAGGAGGGGGCAAGGGGGAATCAGTCGTCACCAGGAGTTTAAAAATGGGGCCTGTAGAAAATTGACTGCGAATTAACTACCAATAATAAACTAGGAGGGTTATTAGACTATAACGGAGCCTGATTTTTATTGTGACACACCCAAATCCTTCGAGTTTCGCCACCCCCACCCCCTGGCGATAAATAACGGTCGATCCCCTAGGAATTTTTGATATTGCATAACTAAATCTTATGTTTCCCTTGACATCGGAAAATATACAAAGCTTGGAAACAATTATGGAAACAACAAGACCAAAATAAATAGGGCGGAAACGTTGGTTGATGTTACAGCGTGGGAAAAAAACTGTTCCCGTTTTTGTTCCCGCTTTTCTCTAAGGCGTTACTTTGTTCAGTTTTCAGGTGAAGAGAATTATTCGAAGTGAAAAATGGTTCAACTACGATGGTTTTTTTTTTTTAAGTGCCAAACTGAGGATGGTCATAGAGAAGAGATGGATTAAAGTAAGGGCGAGTCACAGGTAACCCATCATGTTGCTTAGCGGTTAAGTAGGTCTAAACATAGTTGCATTTGCTGTCGAGTTCAATCATAGCTGAAGACAAAATTTGGATGGTTGAGGTTGTAATTATTCATTCTATATCTACCACCCGCCGGTCACCGCCGGAGAGACAAAAGATAAATGGTTTCTGGAACTTACTTCTCCCCTAACACGTTCATTTCTTTAATTTTCCTGATGTGAACAGGAAACTGATAAACACTAAATTGGAAACGATCTCACCTACCATATATGATGCCATATACCAAAGGTACCGTTATGACAACGATCAGAGCTAGCCATCGATTTAACATCGAAATATTGCCGCAGAACATGTGAGTTGACATGGCACACTTCCAGTTCACGGGTTTTAGAATGGC